GAGGAACGGAATCAATTGTTGTAGGAGTAGTTGCGGTGGAAGTGTATGCTTCGGTGATGCGCTGAATCGAGGTATCAATTAGCCGGTGTTGTCTAGAAGTGTCCAAGGAAGAACCAGGGACCAGTGCGTGAGATGTGCCAGGTATGGCATAGACTTGTGAGCGGTCAAGCAGGCCGAACAAGGTGAGAAACCAAAAGAATTGCTTCCACGAACGAGAGGGTCGTTTAAAAGAGTGTTTCTTAGAAAAACGAGCTTGTTTGATTTGAAGTTGCGCGTATGGGCAACACCATTGTATAGGAATACGAACGTTGGAGAGCGTGGCGACGGCAATCGATACGGAAATTGGCAAAAGACCGATGTTGATGACTTTCACGACAGCATTATTACGAATCTACCAAACTGCAGTGAGAGAAAAGTTTCCCCAAGGGACCAGCAATGCAACCGATAGGGGACGATACTTGAGCGAAACTAGAGCTGACAACGATCGCGACAGAAGCAGGAGCCGGAACGATGGAGGAGGCAACAAACGTCGCAACGAAGAAGAGATTACTCTGAGTAATAGAGAGAAGATCTGGTACCATCCTAGCTACCGTTTCTCTCCAACACACCTACGAGCGTTTACCAATAAACAACGTGAATGCATGGCAAAGGAAAGAGCCGCATACAGAGAAAGTCAAGGATGACGTATTGGATATTACCAAAGAGTGGCCGCCCAATCTCGACTGACACTGTCCAGAACATCACAGAAACCGAGAAACAGACCGACGTGGTCAAAGAACAAATAGCGCAATGGACAACTGATGTATCCAAAATCCTTGATGCAAGGACAGGAGACATCAGTTGGGGGAAAGATGAGATACCGCCACAATTGATGTTTGACCTCAAATTGGAAGACGAAGAATTCAAATGCAACTTCAACAAGTTGATCAAGGCCAAAGATGTTGACGATGGCACGCTCCAGGGGACCACAGAGACTGACGACATCGACGCACAGAACTACGTCAACATGGAGATTGGTCTAAGACGGGGGCAAGAAGGGGAGTTTCAACGTGCAGTTGTACACAGGAGACTCGTTGATGCAGAAGGAAATCCAACGGGTGTAGCAAACAACAACCAGTTGCTTGACACAAGACAATACGAAGTCGAATACGAAGATGGAAGCACCAAAGTGCTCGCTGCGAACTTGCTAGCAGAGAACTTATTAGCACAAGTGGACAAACATGGACACAGACACTTGCCAATGGAGGAGATCACGGAACATTGTTCTGATGAGAAGGCAGTAAAGATGAAAGATGGTTTCTATCCCCTCCCAAGTGGAACGCAACGAATACGACACACAACAGCAGGATGGGACTTCTATGTTACTTGGAAAGATGGTTCCTCAAATTGGATACCTTTAAAAGATATGAAGGAGTCTTTCCCAATTGAAGTGGCCGATTACGCAATAAGCAAGGGCATCCAAGACAAACCCGCTTTTGCATGGTGGATCCCACACGTTGTTCGAAAGCAAAAGCGATTCCTTGGCAAAGTAAAATTGAAGTACTGGGAACGTACGCACAAGTACGGAATACGTATCCCAAAATTGATCAAAGAAGCCATCAATGTTAGAATAAAGCAAAATGTGCTCTATCGTGAGTGCCTTTAGCGCTCAGAACAAACTCTCTGCAATCTAAATTCGTAATCGACTGTACAACACTTTCACGACAATAGTTCTCCTGTGTCTAGGTATACTTTGAGTGAAATTGTTCCTATTTGATTGATGTTTGGCTTGAATTGATGATTCAATCACAAAAGTGAGTTCGACGATTTTCCCTTGGAAAATCCCTTGTTTACAGAACTCGATTCAATTTCTACGACAATTCTGTGTTGAATTCTAACAAGTTTGGTCCCCTCGAGCACATATCCGGGCCTTTCGTGTGAGGTCCATCTTGACATCAAAGACAGTCATCAAGTCAATACAAGTATATCCAGGGGGAACAGGTTCATCTGGTCCCAAAATTCTTAAGGCAGGCAACACAGTTTTAACTTCCTTTTCAATAGCATTTCCCCAATGATTGCTACCAGTGTTGGCGTCAATCTCGTAGGCACGTCTCACGCCTTTCGGACCAGTACCAGGCAATTCTAAACCAAATTTCTCAGTCTTGCGAGTTAAGGCTCTTCTTTTCACAGCCTTTAGAATTCTATCACGCTTCTTCAGAGTATAAGGAACCCACCAAGAGAAAGCAGGCTCGGATACAAGTTTGTTAGCAACAGCATATTTGGCCACCTGAATTGGATAGGCCTCCTTTGCCGTTTTCAAATCAATCCATTCTGTCTCATCACCATGAATTTGAGCACACAGATACCACCCTTTTGTAGTTCTTGGAGGAACTTTCTTATTCTTTACCATGACAAAACCATCATCAGCATGGACTCGTGTGCCATCCGTCCTGTGATCAATAAATTCTTTCACATGGAGGATGCTATTACCGTCATCGTCAACATTCATCATCATTGCTTCGATAACTTCGTTTGCACGATAGGATTCAGTTTCACCGTCATGCCATTCGATTTCATAAATAGAAGTGTCCAAGACAGGCTTCTCATGATACGAACCAACCATCGAGCCATCTGCTCTTCTTTTTCTTC